ATTGGCCGAGGTCGTAACATGGGCGGAGATGGCCCTACTTGTGATTGGCGGAGGTCTTGATGTGGGCGGAGATGGCCCTGCTCGTGATTGGCGGAGGTCTTGATGTGGGCGGAGATGGCCCGAGACGTGACTGGTTGGATTGACGGTGGCGTTTGAGGCTTGAGGCAGTGGGGAGGAGCTTGGTCAAGTCGCGCAGGAAGTAACTCTTTTTTTAAGATTAATTTTAGTCATAACTTGAGAAAGGAAAGTGCTAGATGCACGAAATTTGAACGTCGTACATGTGAAAGGATGTGTAACAATATGGCTTGGTCAAAACATCCTTAACCAGCCTGTAAAAAGAAACTGATTTTTAGCAATCTTTTTACAGGCAGTTTAGGGATGTTTTAACCGAGCTATATTGTTACACATCCTTTCACATGTACGACGTTCAAATTTCGTGAAGCTAGCACTTTCCTTTCTCAAGTTATGACTAAAATTAATCTTAAAAAAAGAGTTACTTCCTGCCCGACTCGACCAAACCCCCGCTGCCTCCATACCCCACCTTGGGCCATCTCCGCCCACATCAACACCTCCGCCAGTCACGAGCAGGGACGTCTCCGCCCACATCAACACCGACATCTCCGCCCACATCAACACCTCCGCCAATCACGAGCAGGGACGTCTCCGCCCACATCAACACCTCCGCCAATCACGAGCAGGGACGTCTCCGCCCACATCAACACCGACATCTCCGCCCACATCAACACCTCCGCCAGTCACGAGCAGGGCCGTCTCTGCCCACATCAACACCTCCGCCAATGACGATTTGGGCCGTCTCCACCCACAGGACAACACGTTCTGCAGAGACCCCTACTTGAGACAAGGTGGTCTTCAGAGCCCTGACAGGTGCAGGATGGACTGGGAGGACTGTGGTTTCTGTGGTTCTAGAAGCAAACACTTGGGAGGAATTTAAAGAAGTCATGGAAAAGGACTTCATGTTGGTCTCAAGGAGACCCTGAAAACTGTTCAGTGACTCAGAAAACACCAGGCCCTGCCCCGGGCTGGGCTTGGTTTGGGTGTAGACCTGATGGTGTTGAACACCAGGGGGAACTTTGAGGGTCTTTTTCATCTGGTCACCATGTCCTACAGAGTCTGAACACTCTGAAAGGTGAGCTCATTGTCGTGGTACAGGTGGGTAAAACAGATAGAATATATTTTAGTTGGTGTTTCTACAGAACTCCACTTTAAAAGATCAGAAATTTCTCTTTAAGTTTTAAACAAAAACAAGCTAAAACCATCAACAACACGGAGCTGAAGAGTTAAACCATCTGAACACAAGAAAGCTTCATTAATAAAACCAGCATTTTAAATGCACAGTAAACTCTTTCTGCTTTAATTATTTCAGTTTATGTTTGACATTAAACATAATTATAACCTCAGTATTCTTCATTCTCAAGTACCTGAAACACTGCACTTTATTTCAACAAGAAGTCATTAAAACCTCAGTCCTTCTGACCCGACAGAATCACTTCTGTCTGTACAGAACATGTCAGGACTTCAGACCAGGACATAGGAGGTGTAGGCAAACACCACCGGCACCATCCAGCTACTGGGCGCCACAAAAGTGGGATGAAAAAATGTTTGATACCTTTTTATCAGAGTGTAGTTGATTTAATCTGTAGAATAAGCAGCCTTCTGAAGGTAACTTGTTGTGTTTTGTTCCTACATGAGGTGTTATGTAGTGCAGAGGATGTTTCATGATAAAAGTATCACATGATGCAGTCGGGACCAACTGCTGGTGCTCAGTGTGGAAATAAATAAGTAAAGAGAATTTTCAGATAAAGTTCAGGTTAAGGTTTGGTTTTCAGTATTCTACATGTTTTATTAATCCCAAGAATTCAGTAAAATGCTGTTCATATTAGGGCTGCACCATATCTCAAAAGTAACTAGAGAATTTGCATTTCCTACAAAAATGCAAGGGTGAATGCCATTTGCGCAGAACTATAGCTGAAATAGCAG